GGAGGGCTCCAGCCCAAACGCCACCTCCAGCACCCAGCGAGCAGGCGGCCGTTATCACCCCAGCCAAGCTCTCAGCACACAGCACCACCGCTCCTCCCACAACCAGCTCATCCCTGCCCGTATCCTTACGTCCTCCAGCAGTTTGCCCTCCACACGTAGCTCCCAGGAGGCCACACGCTCACCACCCTCCCCTTCTTCTTTGGCTGGGGTGAAAGTGTTGGAGATGTAAATCCTCAGCTTTCGCTTTTGCTGTGGAATAGGAAAACGGAGAGAGGGGGGGGATGCTTGGAGTGAGACGGTGGCTGGCAGCACCCACTTTGTACGCCCCCACCCCAGCTGCTCGCCCTCCCGGCCAGCCAGGGCTGCCAACGCACCGTCAGTGGTTTCTTAATGGCCTCCTGTATCTCCATCCTCTTCCGAGCGATGGTTTGGTCCAGCTTGCGCTCAAAAGCGAGAAGGTCCATGTAGGCCTGGGATTCTGGGACCAGTTCCCGGATCTGTCAAACAGAAACCATCAGTCCCTCGCGTGCTGGGATGGAGCTGCGTCCCCCACACCAGCCCAAACAATGCTACCAGTGCTGGGTTGACACACCAAGGAGCCACCAAGTGACGAGAGCAGCACAACAGCACCCATTTCTCATTTTAAATGAAGACTAGAGCCTTGCAAAGCTCTCCTCAAATCACAGAGCTGTACTGCAGACCTCAGTTTGGAGCCTGTCACTGTGCCCAGCAGCCCACCCGGTGTCACAGGCAGGTAACGGATTGTTAAGAGGGACCCCCAGGAGAGGCTTAGGGTCCTCCTGGGGTCTCCACCCCAAGCCACCGCTGCTCTGTGTTTGCCCAAAGTCCTGCTTGGCCAATTTGTGCCCACCCCAAAACCTCTCCTGCCACCCCAGAGGAAAAGATATAAATCTTCCGTGTTGATTTGGGACTGAGAAGAAATGCCCAGCGGGCAGGAGGCAGCCCAGGGAGATGCTCCTCGTCGTGGGGACATCACCACCCCGGCTGCCCTGGGAAGGCAGCACAGATGCACGACCTCCTTCCAGCAGCTCAAATCCTTCCCCGCGCACCGAGGCAGCACTCACCCTCTGTGGCAGGACCTTGTCAGCCATCTTCCTCCTTTTGACCCTGCAAAAAGCACAGAGACAGGCAAAAAAAGATAAATATTACACTGCAGCTCTCGCAGGACATCTTGTTGCCTGCCCAGTGGGAGGCTGCTGCATGGCCCACGCTCGGGTCTCAGGGGACAACACCGAGCTCTGCAGGTACGCCAGGAGCCCAGTGGCTCTTTTGGCCCCATCTAGGCCACGAGTGGGGCCAGGCTCCAGGGAAGGGAGTCACAGCGGGAACGCCAGCTGCATGCCACGTGGATGGCTCCATCTGAGCCGAGTGTCGAGGCTCCCACTGCAGCCAACAGGTCTGGGGGGGCAGGTCCCCGTTTGGGGCTGCTCTGTGCGACAGGGACTTTGGACTTGTACATGGAGAACAAAGAAAGTCTGTAAGAGCACCCAGAGCACAAGACCTTGGCTCAGTGCCGGAAAGCAAATGAGTAAGAGAATATATCCGTGTGGGCAAGCCAAGATGACTCCAGGGGGGAAGGTGTTAGACATCTAGAGCCTGTCACCAGGGAAGGAAATCCAGTCCCTGGGTTCAGTTTGCTTCGCTGCTGCCGCTTGCTGAAGGTGCTGCAGGGCAGGAGCAAGGAGAAGGCAGTACAAGGCAAAGCTGCGGCTGCAGGCACGCACCCGTCTGCAGGACAGCGTTCCCAGAGTTTCCTCTCTGGAGATGTCTGTCACATGCTCCCAATGCTACAAACCAAAGCCCAGTTCCAGGAACTCACTTAAAACCAACTTAAAACAAATCAACCTTGCCATGCTGGCACCGAAATCATCGTCGGTAGAAGCAGCAGAGTGGTCTCTAGAGCCACAGAACGGCTGCAGCCTCGCTCAGAGCCATTTTAGCTCTCTCCAAGTTTGTAGTACCCTGTCAGACCACAGGACCCTGGGCTCTGCTCCCATCCTGCACACTGCAGGCACCCCGTCAGCCTGAGCCCGCCCCGATGCCCCCCTAAAATCATGCTCAATGCCTGGATACGGGGGGAAACACCCTCCTCCCATTAAAGAGAGTAAATCTGAGTAAGAGATGGGGCAGATAAAGGGAAGTCCCTTTCCTTTGGCAGCACGTGAAGCAGGAAGGCAGCAAACGCAGGCGCACATGCTGCTATCACGAAGTGTCCAAGGTACGCTGGCTGCCGGCGCAGGAGGACAGGTCAGGAGAGCAGCCGTAGCTAAGAGGGGGGTCAGAGCACTTCTTTGCGCTCTTCTTGCCGCATCAAACGCTTTCTGCCCTGCAGGGTTCGGCCACCCCATTAGCAGCTGGCAGTTCCTGATCCCTTGATCTGCAGCCAGCCGGGAGCAAGGATGCTCGACCAGCCGAGCGCGGCTGATCCCACGCAGCCAGCCCCCAGGAATGGAGCCGCAGCTTTATCTGGTTGCTGACGTCCTTGCTCGGTGGTGAGCTGCCCCTCGTCCTTAATCCCCAGCTTGCTCTGGAGCACCGATGGGATGTGCAGTCGCTGTGCGGAGGCTGCGACTCCCCGTGGAGGGATGACGGAGCCAACTGAGCTGTCAGCCGCCGGCCCCGCCGCACATCCAGGGCAGGGAACAGGACCTGAGTATCCATGAGGACCAAGGGAACCTGCCCTGAGAAACAGCCTCCAGTAATCAAGAAGCCCTCATGAAAAACAGAAACTGAGCAAAGGGATTAGCAGCGTTGTAAACAAGCGAGGAGCTGCTGGCAGAGACTCACGGCTCACTGAGACCAGCGCCAACAAACAGTCCTACCAAGACTGCAGCTCTGGAAAGCGTCTCTGGACTCTGCCACCCCTGTCCCCCCTTTCCACACCCACATTTGTGCCTGCCAGAGCCAGCACGAACCCCTGTGAGAAGGGGAAAAACCCCAAGGAGCCAGTGCTGTGGCCTCTGACAAGTACAAACACACGGAGGAAGGCTTTTCGGTTACTGGAGTGGAGAGGAAAGCATGGGGAAGCTGTGAGCCCAGTGATCTCTGCCCCCATCCCAGCTCCCTCACCATCACAAAACATCCCAGCCCCGTGCTCTGGCAGGTTTCCCACTGCCAGCAGTGCCAGCCTGCGGGCAAGCCATGCTGGCTCCCGCCCTGCCGCGGGAAGCTCGTCCCTCTGCAGCAGGGCAGGGAGCTGCGGGTTTCTGCGGCCAAGTGCAACCAGGACCCAACAGGTCAAACCACCCCCTTCCAGCCTGCTGCGGGTGTCCGTCCTGGAGCAGGAGGGTCCTGGCCCCTTACCCTCTCCTCTGGGTGGCCATCGGCGGCTGTGCCTGGGGGGTCAGCAGGCGTTTCCTGAAGGGGTCCATCATCGACTGCGGCAAGCCAGGTCTCATTGGGGAGGCTGCTCCGTAAGGAGGTGCTCCCGGTGGTCCCACCTGCAGCCCTGCCATGGGCATTCGGCTGCCTGGCGGCATCCCGGGGCGCTAGTGGGGAAGAGAAGAGAGGAAGAGTGTGTGTTAAACACTGCCGTGCGAGGGGGCCTGACCTTTGCTGGGGACCAGCGGATGCCATCCACCTCCTCGCTTCTTCCTCAGGAGAGATTTCCGAGGCTGTATCCTGCCCCGAGATGCTGGCGAGGGACAGGGCAGGGAGGAGGGCAGGACATCAGGAGCTGCAGCCTTCCTTGCTGCAGGAAGAGTGATGGGAAAGCAGAACCAGGACGAGCAGAAGCCACCGACCGCAGGGGAAGCGCAGCGTGCCAGCCGGCACAGAGCCGAAGCCATGTGTGGCCCCGAGCCACTGCCACGCAGCAGGAGACATCGGACCTGGAGCATCACGAGGGTCACCGCCTGCAAAGCCATCGCCCTGGGGACATCAGGGGCTGCGGCGTGGGCTGTGAGGTGGGTTCCTCTCCGGAAAGCGGCAGTGCTGGCAGACGCAATGCCTGGGAGGGGAGCGGGACAATCCCACTTCCTAACAGCACCGGTCATGAGGCCGGCAGGCAGGAAGCCGAGCTCCTGGGCGCAGGGGATGGAGGCAAGAGCTCACCCCCTGACAGCACACCAGCCCCCATCATTCCCCCTCCAGGGACGCGGAAAGTCATTTAGAAGCCACTACACCATACTGATCAACTCCTGCAAGGGGTCCCGACCCAGGGCAGCACAGCTCCTCCCCATCCCCTGCAGCAGAGCAGCTCAGCAAGCCAACACCTGCACTGCTGGCTTGCAGGTGCCACCAAGTCTACACCCCGTGCAGCCCTCTGGGAACCCCCACAATCAGTCTCAGCACCCCACGACCCACCCGCCGCCCCTCCATACTCCAGCCTGCTTCACCAGCGGTCCGAGCCAACAGCTTTCCGGGATCCTTTGATCCTCAAGCTCCCCACTGCCAAGATGCGAGGCTGGGAGAGCCACCAAGCCAGCAGAGCAACATTTCTCCCCTGCCGCAGGCTCCTCGACGTGCCAGGACATCCCCCACAGCTCCCCTCCCACCGTCCTGAGAATGGAGCTGGGGCACACAAGCCGTCCTGCAGAAGAGAGCTAACGAAGCTGCCTCATTATCCCAGAGGAGCTCAGCACAGCAATGTTGTGGGCTGATGAGCTTATCTGCATACAGGCACTAATTTCAGTGTGAACCCCAGGTACGGAAGGGCTGGGGGCAGCTGCAGCCTGCTTGTCCTCTGCAGCTTTTATTACAGGCAGGCTCAGAGCTGCAGCAGGGGGAGTTGGTGTGATGCAGCTGGAGCTAAAACAGACTCACCTCCTCCCCAAAAAGCTGGTAAATGCAAAACCAAGAGCTCAAGTTGCTCCCGCTCCGGAGCCCGAGGCCACAGGCGTCTCTGCAAGTGGGAGAGCCTGAAAACACACCAAGCGCCGCATCGAGAAGTGTAATGCAGCTGGGAAGTCAAGCAGCAGCGGGCCACAGGATTAGTGCCGCACGTGGAAGTTCAAAAACACACACAGAGCACGGGCAGAACCCATTACACAAGCAAATGCTGTCTCCACTTCTGCTCAGCCTTCCTTTGAAGCAGCACTTCCAGAGCCCAGGCTGGCTAACCTGCCCTTGCCACAAGGCAGGAGCCTGTTTCTTCCTCCTAACAGCCCCCAGATGTTTCTCTCCTTTTGATCAGCCACATTTGTGCAGCTCCTCGTGACAAGCGGGACTGCTCCGGCATCGCCAAGAGCTGACCGCGGCCAGCAGCACCTCCTCTGTTGCCAAAAATCACAAGGCAAGAACCGTTTCTCTGGGTTTATCAAGAAATCCTCCACGGCAGGGCCAGGAGGAGAGGCAGCACTAAGATCCACACCCTTTAAAATTAAAAAAACACAGGCAGTGGGTAAATACGATTTGCCAGTGCCGCGTGGCTACAGGAGGGCTGCGTTCTCATAACCCTGCTGACTCACCTACGAGGGCTTCTGGGGAACAGATAAGCCATGGGAAGAGGCTGTGAAACTTTTCATCAGAAATTTGGGAGCCCTAAGATAAGCTGCGTTGTGCCAAGGCTGCACTCAGTCACCTGCAGCTCCCTAGAGCCACCAGAAGCATGGAGGAGACAGACAGCTTTCGAGGAAAACCTTGGCACTGAGAGTTTTTCAAGCCCACGCAGGAGACCGTGGTAAGTACCACGGGGAAACTGGTCTGAGGTCAGGCAGGCTCCCTATGTGACAACATACAACACCACAACTCCTTCACAAAGCATGCAGACAGAAGAACGCAGTCAGCAGCTTCCTTGGATTAAGAGGTGACGTGGCCACAACCAGCTCCTGTCTTTCGGCCAGGGCAGCTCTCACCACCACCGTGCCCTGAGGTCTCTCCTATCTCCTTCTGTCACTCCATGGGTCACATTTCTGATCTATCCCTGAAATGAGAGATTTGGAGGCTGGCTGAAGTCGACTGAGAGAGACTTTGACAGCTTTGCATAAGCGAGAGCACCTTGTGCGATGTCTCCCGTGTGTCCATCTGCTCTTCGGAGGGCGAGAGACTGCTCGGTTGCAAGAAGAAGAGACAATTCTGTTGGCAGGGAGAGATTCAGTGCTGCAAGGATGAACAGATCTGTCATACTTAAGACTGTAACGTCCCCTCCCTCCACAAACATCTGAGAACCATCAGCCACAGTTAAGCTGCCGGGGGAGTGAGCTCCAGCCCACCAGGGATGCGCATTTGATCACTTGGACGAACGAAAAAACACAAGGCAGAATCCTCCACGCGGATGTTTTTTCTCCCCTCTCAGTTTACTCTCAAGATTTGCAAATTGCTAACGGAGAAGCCTCTTGGCAAAGCAGGGCCAGCCTCTGCCTTGTGTTCAACCAGCGCCTGCAGCCCTGGCTGGGGGAGCCTCAGCTCCCCGAAGGCTGCAGGCTTCTAAGACTCAACTCGGGCAAGTTTAAGGCACAGCCTTAAATCCCCGGCTAAACCACGAAGCAGCATTACAACCCCGTCGGGTTGAAGCCTGCCTCCACCCCTCTTTGGAAGCCCTGGAAATAAGCAGGATGCAAGGGGGCTTAAATTCAGGAAATTTTGTTACACCGGCTCAAACCAAGGAGACCTTCCCTAGCTCCTTCCTATCAACACCCCTCGGCCCTCCGTCCACCCCTCTTGGTATTGCCTTGTCCTCCCCTCCCTGCCCCACCGCCCCTGCCAGTGGGGCGGACAAAGGGCAAACCTCGCAAGCTCAGCTCCGAGGAACAAACTGGACCTCGTCCAGCCTTCCCCATGGAGAGCGAGCGGAGCCGTTTGGAAACGGGACAGAAAACAGCTTGTTTCTGTTCCCTGCCAAAGCCCAAGGAACAAACGGGGCTGGCCGTGGTTTAGCGGTTCATCCCAGGTCAACGCACAGGCCGTTTGCGTTTTGGGGAGCTCTGTTGAGAGTCAACTTCAGTTGGATCCAATGGGAGGCTGGAAGGCTTCCTGATGGATGTTCGTTGGCATGACAGGAGCCTCCCCGCCTGCCAAAGGCCCCTTCTTGAGGAAGGACAGGCCAGAAATCGGAGGCTGGTAGCAGAAAGCGGAGCAATAAATCGCAGGATGGGTCTGCAAGAAGCAGCCAGGCTGGAGAATGAGCTTGAAGAAAAGCAGCATTCCAGAAAACAGCTCGAGAGCCTGTCCTCATCTTCATCCGAGACCGCAGCTCTTTTCCTGCAGTTCCGAACGAGGCGGGGGAAGGCTCTTCCCGACACACGTCCCATTTTGCTCTGCCCCGACATGCGCGATCCAACTTTGTACATCCTAACAGGCAGGGAGCGAGAGCCCACATGCATCCTCGCCCGGGCCTTTGGGAGCAAAGCCCTGGACAGACGCCAAGCAACGCCGGCTCTTCCTGCAAGTTCCTCCCCACGTGCCCGGATGGCAGCGCTTCCCATTAGGACAAACGCTAAAAGCGAACGCTGTTCAAACGGGATTTGAGCTCCACGCCAGGCTGGTTTCAAGGAGAGCTTGGCTGCCTAAAGCCACTGCTCAACCCGGGGCTTCACATGGATCGCGACCAACTGAGCCCCCTCAGCACACCCCAAAAGGTGCTTTCCCCCCTCTTTGTTCAGTCTTATCTGTGAGCAAATCCCTCTTGGGAGGGTGCCAGGAAGAGCCTGGGTTCGTGCTGGTGGAGATTTCCATCCCGGAGCTGGTGGTGTTATCGAGATGCCGTTGCACACTGCAAACTCTCAGGCAGCACCGTGCTCCCAGCAAGCTCCCCAACTGCCCCAACGCAGCTCATCACGCTTGGAAGACCTGCCATATTTTGGTACAGGAGGAGCTCCAGGAGTCGGGTCGCTTCTCAGCTAAAAATCGTAGATGAGGAAGTAGTAAATTAAAGGGAGAAGGGCAAAGCAACAGGCAAAGAGATCGAGCAGATTTAGGGCATGTGCTGGCAACGTTTCAAGCACCAGCAGAGATGTCTGGGTCCGGACAAACCTGTCTGCTGCCTCACATCTGAAGTTGCAGATGTTACAGGTCAGGAAAAAAAAAAAAAAAAAAAGGCCCCGGGGATTCAAATCATAACACATTAACACAAGCAGGAACAAGGAACAAAGGTGTTGGGTTCCCGCCTGAAAGAAAAACTCCGGCAGCTGCTAACACAGCATGGAGTCACACACCAGAAGAGCAGAGATAGGTACATGGCATAAAACACTGCCTTTGGCGCTGCTGCAGTGCTAAAACTGCCCAGGGAACAGCTCTGAGAGCTCCTGAGAAGGTCCTGTGGAGGAAGATGGAAGTGAGGGCCTTCAACAGCAAGTTCTGGAGATGTTGCCCACCTAGAACTTTACTGTCACGTTTCCCCAGGAGAAACAAAGGGTGCTGTGGGCTCTCTGTTGTTGCTTGCTCCTCTTGCTCCAAAAGGACAGCGTTCATCTGCTTTGTATCATCACTTAAATTAACTCGAGGCTCAGTCTGTGATGAAACCTGCCTTGGAAACCATCTCCCTTGGGATGGGTGGGGTCACCCAGGCCCAGCAGCATCGCAGCTTTCTGGTGCAGCTCCAGCCCTGGCCGTTCTCTCCAGGCCCCTTTTGAGCCAACCCCAATCACCCGATGAGCAGGAAAACCATTTTCTTCTGCTCCCAAGAGGATCGGGTGGATCTTTCTCATGCTGCACTACACCGTCTCTGACATGTCCGGGCCACCCCATCTTTCACCTGGCTCTGTACCAGCGACCTGCACTTCTCCAGCTCCTCCGTCCCGGCTGCCTGCGCAGGTTTCTCCACGAAGCACAACTTTGCTTTCCTTCGTGCTGCCGCCTGCCTGGGGAGAGCATCACCGAGCTGCAGCTGCTTTCGGGTTAGGAGTTGCTTGGACTGCAGCAGCCCTCCCGTCCCATGGACACCAGGCTCCTTCTCATCAGCAAGTGCCAACGAAACAGTTTTAATGGGACACCTAACGAATGCTGCCTTTTCCCACCTCTGTGCGCCAGCGGAGCATCAGCACAGGGTAACTTCGCAGCCAGAGCGTTGCTTTGCAGTCCCATCTCCATCACACAGCGCCGAGCCCGCTCCCTGCCACAGCGTCAATCCGCTAACTCAGGTAAAAACCTCTCCTAAGCCTGAAACTAGCACCTGAATAAACAGTTTCGCTCCTTTTCGCTGAATTTACACCGGCTGGCACAACCTGGATGCTGGGGGCTGGGACTTGGCCTTGGCAGCCGTGCTGCCACCAGCACAGGGACAGGGACCAGGAAGGGGGCTCTGTGGGCAGACTTGCTGCCAAGCTGCCCGATGGAGCTTAGCTGATCATCCTCCTCCTGGAAAAAAAAACCACCTCTCCTTCCTGCTCCAGGAATGGCACCGGTGCCTGGCTGCTCTGGAAACATGAGCTCCTCAAAGGGTCCCAAATCAGTCACCCAATCAGACCCAAAAGGTTCTCCCCCAAGAAGCCGTCCTCTTGAATTCCCTGCTTGAGCCGCCAGAAAATAACCAGCAGGCATGCAAGGATGTCAAAAGGATGAGCATATGTTTAATAATCTAGTGATTAAAGAGCCCCTAAGCACTCGATGGCATGGATGAGGCCTGTTGTGTCTCCTAGTGCCCAAATAATTAAGTTCTTCATTAAACTAGGGCATAACGAAGCAGACAAGTCCTCCGGCTATGGCAGGGATGGCCACCGGGAGGGGAGGGGCTGTTTTCCCCAGCCTGGGAATTGCAAAACAAAGGACAGACCCTCTGGATCGTACCCACTCTCCCCTCCCACGCGCAGGCAGCCCTGCCAGCAAGCTGCCAGCCAGATGCAGCTCGCAGCCAGACGCGAGGCACAGCGCTCGCCACCGGCCCCGGGGCTCAACCGGCTCCGCTGACCCAGTCGCCTCCTCCACCAGCTCACCGGTGCCAGATACCGCGGTGATGGACACCGGGTGTACATCACCCTATGCCGGCCGTGCGCTCCCAACACCTGCTGCCACCACGGCGTTACAGCCAGCAACTCCGGAGGGGGAAAGCAAGCATATATTAGGTTGTTTACCCACGGCGGTGAGCAGCTCCTGGCTGCTCCCGTCAGGCTCCAGCTTCCCGGCTGGATTTTGCAACCTGCCGCACGGAAGGTCAGGGCAAACGATTGAGCGTCTGCCCAGCCCGAAACGCCTCTGAGTCGAGTTACCTTCGATTCACGCTCAGACCGGCCTGGGCTGCGCCATCTCAGTTTTCAGCGCCGGGCTTTTTGGCGTTTTTAAGGCTACAGCGGGCAGTTGTTCCCTCATCTCGTATTAATGAAGCTTACAAGCTGGGAATTCCCTCAGCTTGATTTATTTCTCAAGTTTTAATTCATGCGAACGCGGCGGCAGCTCCGGAGGAGGTGATCAGCAGCGGATGAGAACATGTTGCACAACCGGGCTCCTCCATTTCAAGCCTGCCTGGAAGACTGTGCTTTACACCAGAACCCTAATAACCAAAATAACCACCCCACCGTACGAGCGAACCGACTGGCTGCGGGTGCAAGCGGGAGGCGGAAACTTCAGCGTATGTCAGAACATACTTCTTCTAAGTGATGTTCAGGCTGGAAAATGAGTGAGTTCTCTCGCTTTTTGAGGGTACATATACTTTCCCCCAATTATAGCGAGCGTCGGCGCTCCTTGTCCACCACGAAATAACCTCCCCGGCTTCTTCTGGAAGATACGCACCCACAATGCCACACATGGTTACCTCCACCATTGCCGGAGACGCAGATAACCGGGTTCCAAGGCCGCCGGGCGCGATGGGAAATGGCTGCGGAGCCGGAGCTGGGTGCAGGGCCCGGCGCTTCCTCCTCCGCCGCAGTACCGGCAGGCTCCCACCGGATAACGG